GACGGTCCTGCCTTAAATACAGATTCAACTTAAGAACCCCAAGTCAGCTGCTGCTGAAACTGATCAGCGTCTGATTCCAGGAAGCCCGGGGCAGAGCAACTCTGCCTCGGGCTTCCTGTAGTCAGCCGCTGGTCAGTTTCAGCAGCAGCTGAATCTGGACGCCAGTTCCGACTTACATACAAATTCAACTTAAGAACAAACCTACAGTCCCTATCTTGTACGTAACCCGGGGACTGCCTGTACTCTCTGAGTACGGTTATCCAGCCAGTTATGCACCCACCTTATAGTAGCCCCATCTAAGTTGTATTTGCCTAATTTATTGATAAGAGTATCATGCAAATAACATACCAGCAGGGAACTCAACTCCTGCTCCATATACAGAACAATTCAAAGAACTGGGCAAATTCATCATTTTTTCATCCCATTGTACAGATATGGAACTGAGGCCCAGAGAGATCAAATTATTTGGCCCATGACCATGCAGGAACATCCCAAAGCTAGGACTTGAGCCTGTTTGGATATGTGAAAATTAATAGGGGTCTGGGATGACTATACATCAGGGCTACATCTACACTGCGCATTGTTGAGCAATAAGATATGCAAATGAGGCACAGGGATGGCTATCGCAGCACCTCATTTGCATACCTATTGAGCTGCCATTTTTGCGGCATGGGCTTTTGCGCAAGAAGGAGCTGTCTACACTGCTCCTTCTTGCGCAAAAAAAACCCTCTTGCGCAGAGCCGTTCTTCCTGAAAATAAGCAGCAGAACGGCTCTACGCAAGAGGGGTTTTTTGCGCAAGAAGGAGCTTGCGCAAGAGCCTGTGTGACAAAAATGGCAGCTCATTAGGTATACAAATGATGCATGCCAATATTCATCCCCATGCCTCATTTGCATATCTTATTGCGCAACAATGCACAGTGTAGATATAGCCCAGGAGTCTAGCCGAAATAGGCATTGCCTTGAAACATGTTTTTTTCCTTTATGGGATATGTAAGAATTAATAGGGGTTAGGGATGGCTATACATTAGTGGTAGGAGTCCAGCTACAGCAGGCATTGTCCTTTGAACTCGCTTTTTCCCTTCGGTCTTGCAACCTAGAAAGATAGATAAGCATGGAGCTGTTCTTCTTTGTTGTGTCTTTTACTTATCGTCACTGGTTCTGTATAAAATATTTCAGGGTTACTTTTCTTGTAATCTCTGTAACCTGCTGATTCAGAAAGTTTGTAGCATAGAAAAGTGTTGATTTAATTAGAAATTCTGTAAATAATAATTAGGGATGGGTCTAATAATATTCATCACCTGCCTACTAATATTCGTTGTATGGGAGTTGACATACCAATTAAGGTTTTAGGGAAAGTACTGATAGACGTGGAAATTAACACTCTAAAATAAATAAAAGGGTGTAATTGGTGCCAAATTGTTGCCACTCAGAATGATATCATGGGTGTCCAAGGTTAACATGAGTGGGCAGTAAAGCAGTTCCATTTACCCCATCTGCTCCTGGGTCGCCTGTTTCTTTTCTAACAGAACCTGCCTCTCTGGAGTCCAAGCTCAGTACCTTAACTAGAAGACCAGCTTTCCTCTGCCACCTGAAGTGTCCCGTGGAGAAAACGGTGAGCAAGGAGGAGGTGTGAACATGTAAAAACCGGTAGCTGCATTGAGGAAAGACATCAGCTGTTCAGTAAAACATTAGGGCACCCGTCCCTCTTCTTCCCTTCATCCACTGGTTACTTCTACTGGAAGGAGCCATCTTTAGAAATAGCTTTCTGTGTCATCCTCCACACCCCATTCAGTGCCCGGTCCTCTGAGGATAATAGCCAAGTTCCATCGGTGAGGGTATTTTTGTGATGGGTGCGTTTCTCACATAGGAAATGGACAGAGATGCAGAACTCTTTAACTACGCCTGCTCCCAAATAACTTACATCTGAGTGGCCTGGAGAACCATTTATAAGTGTTTGTTTCCCAGCTGCAACTAGTATATTTACTAATCAATCTTCATTTTTACTTGCTGATCTATATTTGCTTCCAGGCTAATATTTTAATTTGTATTGCGCTGTTGTTATTATTAATAATAATGGTTGTTATTTGAGCAAGATTATTCACATTAGATGTAAATGTAATTTCCAAATGAGACAGAAAGCTAAAAATACCAGATTAATCAGTTTTTATAATTTATTGTGATGCCTACACAATGGAGCAGGATCTTGTTAGTGCAAATTGAAATAAAGCACCCATGTTCTAGCATCTTTCATGAGCATAAAACTGTGTTACAAAATGTCATGAAACTGAGCTGAATAATAACCGAACCATTTTAAGAATAGGTGACTATCTATTGGATCATTATAGCTCTTCGTTCTGATATGTGGAATTACAGTTCTTGAACAGAAGTGTCTATTAAAAAAGTACTTCAACTACAGAAGTTAACAAACAGGTTTCCACACAACTCCAGTTCTGTATGTGTCCCCCATTGTTTACCACCCTTCCTCCTCTCTTCTCCCTCCCCAAATCACACAGTGGCATCTATTGCTAGAACGATATATACTACAAATAAACCTATAATTAAAGTGTCTGGCCTTGTCTACACTACAAAATTATTTTGGGATAACTACATTGCTCAGACATGGACAGAGGAACTAGGAATGTGGGAGGTGCTGTGGAACCCCACATTTTACACAGAATGCTGCTATGGCTCCACATCTCAGGTCCCAGCTGCCACAGCGTTGCACCAATGCAACGTTTTCAGTGTAGTCCTGCCCTCTAGCTGGCCTGAAGACCAGGACCACACAGAGACTCCAACCTGAGCAACATACAGTGGCCTTAAGCAGAGAAACCTCTGAGGATGTGGACACCCTCCATTTGAGGCCTGGGTCCAGTGTTCTCTGTAAGATGCACAGCTTCACAGGTGATTAATCAGCCCTGCCGCATCAGTCAGCTCTGTGAACCTGAGAGGGAACACTGCCTGGCTGTGTCTAGACTGGCAAGTTTTTCCGCAAAAGCAGCTGCTGTCTACATTGCCAGCTGTCTACACTGGCCGCTTGAATTTCCGCAAGAGCACAGACGATCTCATGTAAGAAATCAGTGCTTCTTGTGGAAATACTATGCTGCTCCCATTCAGGCAAAAGTCCTTTTGCGCAAAAGCTTTTGCGCAAAAGGGCCAGTGTAGACAGCTCAGATTTGTTTTGCGCAAAAAAGCCCCGATCGCGAAAATGGCGATCGGGGCTTTTTTGCGCAAAAGCGCGTCTAGATTGGCACGGACGCTTTTCCGCAAAAAGTGCTTTTGCGGAAAAACGTCCGTGCCAATCTAGACGCTCTTTTCTGCAAATGCTTTTAAAGGAAAACTTTTCCGTTAAAAGCGTTTGCGGAAAATCATGCAAGTCTAGATGTAGCCCCTGTGTCCTAACCTTAAGGCTTTCAACAAATTAGAAACTAATTATCCCAGGGGGTGTCTAAACTGTACCCTTATCTCAATATTAGCTACGCAAATTTCGAAATAGCTTATTTCTAAATTTGGCGCTGTCCCCATAGAGCCAAATTTGGAAATAAAGTGCTATTCCAACAAGTCCCGTAACCCTTATGGAATGAGGATTACAGGGACGCCGGAATAGTGTGCCTGTTATTTCCAAATCTATTTCCTGAAATATCCCAAAATAGCGCCGCTGTCTAGACGCAGCCTCCGAGAACACTTCCCTATCCATCGCTCACTGAGCCAGCCTTGTTTAACTGAGATTCTAAGACAATAAGGATGGAGATTTCAGGAGGTGAGGGATGGTCATTCTTGGCCAAGGTTCTTTACATGGGCAAATTGCTACATAAGGAAATTAGAATGAGCCCTGTCTGTTTTGGGACCAGCTCTGTTCAATATCTTCAGCAACAATGTAGATATTGGCATAGAAAGTACGCTTATTAAGTTTGCATATGATACCAAGCTGGCAGGAGTTGCGAATAATCTGGAGGATAGGGTCATAATTCAAAATGACCTGGACAAATTGGAGAAATGGTCTGAGGTAAACAGGATGAAGTTTAATAAAGACAAATGTAAAGTGCTCCACTTAGGAAGGAACAATCAGTTTCACACATACAGAATGGGAAGCGACTGTCTAGGAAGGAGTACGGCAGAAAGGGATTTAGGGGTTATAGTGGACCACAAGCTGAATATGAGTCAGTAATTCAAAATGACCTGGACAAATTGGAGAAATGGTCTGAGGTAAACAGGATGAAGTTTAATAAAGACAAATGTAAAGTGCTCCACTTAGGAAGGAACAATCAGTTTCACACATACAGAATGGGAAGCGACTGTCTAGGAAGGAGTACGGCAGAAAGGGATTTAGGGGTTATAGTGGACCACAAGCTGAATATGAGTCAGCAGCGTGATGCTGTTGCAAAAAAAGCAAACATGATTCTGGGATGCATTAACAGGTGTGTTGTGAGCAAGTCACGAGAAGTCATTCTTCCGCTCTACTGTGTGCTAGTTAGGCCTCAGTTGGAGTATTGTGTCCAGTTCTGGGCACCATGTTTCAAGAAAGATATGGAGAAATTGGAGAGGTTCCAGAGAAGAGCAACAAGATTGATTAAAGGTCCAGAGAACATGACCTATGAGGGAAGGCTGAAAGAATTGGGTTTGTTTAGTTTAGAAAAGAGAAGATTGAGGGGGGACATGATAGCCGTTTTCAGGTATCTAAAAGGGTGTCATAAGGAGGAGGGAGAAAACTTGTTCATCTTGGCCTCTGAGGATAGAACAAGAAGCAATGGGCTTAAACTGCAGCAAGGGAGGTTTAGGTTGGACATTAGGAAAAAGATAAATTGCCCAGGGAGGTTGTGGAATCCCCACCTCTGGAGATATTTAAGAGCAGGTTAGATAAATGTCTATCAGGGATGGTCTAGACAGTATTTGGCCCTGCCATGAGGGCAGGGGACTGGATTCGATGACCTCTCGAGGTCCCTTCCAGTCCTAGTATTCTATGATTCTAAGATTTTCCAACCATGAGCGGAGCGAGGTTTGGCTTGTGCACTACTATTGAAGTCCCAGGCCCCCACTCCAGTGGCTCTCAGCCGGCCCAGCCTGCCAGAGCAGCCGCCTTCCACGTGGGTCTCCAGCGGAGGTGGGCGGGGGAAGAATTTTTCATGCGTGGTTGCGCAGGCATGCACCTTCACAGGAACATTGGTCAGGATGGAAAGCAGCAGGCTCCATTACACAGAATATATAAGGCGAGTCTCAATACAGTTTTAATGCCTACACCAATGAGGGTATTAACATTTATATTGCCATAGCCCCTAATGGTCACAATGAAGTCAGGGCGCATTGCGCTAGGTGTTGTACAAACATGTACCTTTCAGTCCTTGGCCAAGACAGCTTACAATTGCAAAGATGAGCTTATAACAGTCAGACAAGACAGCTAACAGGCTACAAAGCAGTTAAGGGAAGATATTATGATAAATAATGATTGATTGATTGATTGATTGATTGATTGATTGCTAGATAGCTAACTAACTGGAACTGCCTAATTTGCACTGAAGACATAAAATACCACCAACTTAGGTTAAGCTGGTGACCATGTACGGGATAGTTTTGGGAACACATATTTGTGTCTCTCTAAAACCTCCACAGCTGTGAGTTGTCATTCATGTCTGTTCTGTCAGCCTGGGAGGCGTTAGCCTGATGGCCCATCCTTATCCTTCCCTTTGCTTTAAGCTCATCCTTAATATTTTATATCAATTGATCAAAAGCAAGTTTAATTTTTCCCTCCCTCACTGGTGCCAGGCAAGGTTTCATTAAATGTTCAATTAGTCAAATGTGCACTTCATCAATATGCATCTGTCACCAGAGGCATTTGCTATGTCTGTCCTAAAACAACACAAGGACTGATTGTCTAGAGTGTTTTTTAGCTTGGCAGCTGGTTTTCCCCCCTTAGATAAGACACTAGATAAATTTGTTAATTAAAACATAATTCTCAGATACATGTGAACAGATAGTTAGGCTTGCTGTGTTACTTCTGATTGTTATTTTAATAAACCACTAAAGACGATATAATTGTATTTCCTGGCATGTGTGGAGGTGAAATGATCTTTTTTTAAAAGCCGATTTCTACAGGACTCTCTCAGCAGAAATACTAATTTGGTTACATTTTAGAGTAAACTCATACCTATTAGCTCAGTCTCTGTGGCACTGAACTTGGCTAGAAAAACCTTTGTATCCCATCTGCCCTTGTACACCCAGCTAAATAATCACTTGTTTTTATTGAATTTAGTAAACATCTCCATAACTATGTAACAACCAACCGCAGGGAACACATTGGCACAAAGAGCAGTGGCTCCTTCACTATTTGCTTATTGTAAGGGTCCCGTTTACAATATGTTTGTGCCATCTTCTCCAAGTTGCAATCTGTGAAGAATCTTGCAGCTCACTTGATTTTGATCTGTAACAATCCCTAGAACTTCCATAGCGCATTATGCATTTAAGTAACCATAACAGACTGGAGCTAATGAATCCTTCCAAGAGCCGTAGTAAGGCAAGTGGCTAAGCAGCATTTATACCATTTTACATATGAACCAAGGCAGGAAGTGGAAGAGATACCGGTAGATGTTCCTAAGGTCACACACCAAGTAAGCAGCAGAGCATGGTTTTAGAAATCAGGACTTCCTAACATCCACCTATGTGCTTATTCCTTCAAACCACAGATCCGTGAAAAATTCCACATCTAAGGCTACATCTACACTACCCAGTGTTGTGCAAGAACATATGTAAATGAGGCACAGCGATGGATATCGCTGTGCCTCATTTGCATACTTAATGAGCCACCATTTTTGCGCAAGGGGCATTTGCGCAAGAAGGAGCAGTCTACACTGCTCTTTCTTGCACAAAAACCCCCTCTTGTACAAGAGTCGTTCTGCTGCTTATTTTCAGGCAGAACGGCTCTCACACAAGAGGCCCTTGCATAAAAAAGTAGACTGCTCTACATTTATGTTTTTTGAATTCACTTCAATTTCAATGGCTTCTTCACTCAGGAAAATTTTTTTAAAAAATTCTGGAAAAGTGTTTCCTTTAGATATTTTGAAAATGAAATAGTTTGTTTGAAAAAACACTTTTTCTGTCAAAATTTCCTTTGGTTTTATTTTTTAAACAGCTTAAAATGTTTAAAAATGAATGACATCAAAACAAAGCAGTTTGATTTTGTTGAACCAAATCATTTTATTCAACCCAAAAGGACTTTTTTCTCAACTTTTCAAAATCATCAACAAACTGAAAAATCCATTATTTATCCATCTCTAGTTAGAAACTTATCAACAGAACAAGATACTGATGGTCAGAAACCATGGTTACAAGCAACCTATCTACTTGGTGAGCATTATAACAATTGCGTTACACCAAGTTATAACAGAGAATACCAAATTCAGGACAAACTGCTGAGAAATGGGGCAGACACAACCAAAATGGGGGGCATTATTCTCCTATAAGATATACCAGTCCAGCAGAAAAGTAAACTTCTGGCTAACACTGGCTAACAAGAAGTCAGAGATACAGGCCCCTTCAGTATTTTAGATCCTCATCACCACCAAAACCAGTAAACCTAATGATGAGCAGTTATTTAAAACCAATTTCTTCAACCAAAGGGTTCTTCTTAAGGGGGGACATGATAGCGGTTTTCAAATATCTAAAAGGGTGTCACAAGGAGGAAGGAGAAAATTTGTTCCTCTTGGTTTCTGAGGACAGGACAAGGAGTAATGGGCTTAAAGTGCAGCAGGGGAGGTTTAGATTGGACATTAGGAAAAAATTCCTAACTGTCAGGGTGGTCAAATATTGGAATAAATTGCCAAGGGAGGTGGTGGAATCTCCCTCTCTGGAGATATTTAAGAACAGGTTAGATAGACATCTGTCAGGGATGGTGTAGACGGAGCTTGGTCCTGCCTTGAGGGCGGGGCCTGGACTCGATGACCTCTCGAGGTCCCTTCAAGTCCTATTATTCTATGATTCTATGATTCTTATCCCAAAGGACCAGCCACACATCCAGGTCAATAGATAACTCAGATTTTACGTAATAACCATGTGATTGCTAATAGTATCTTACAGCTAAATGTTTTATTTATAAAGGGAAAGAAAGAGGAGTGAGTTAAAATTGGTAAAAGGAATCACACATTATAATTGCAAAGTTTTTAGTTCAGGCTTGTAGCAGTGATGGAATAAACTGTTGGCTTGTTAAGTCTCTGCTTTCTTCCAGATCATTAGTCCTTTGGTAAGAATGTTCCCATTAGTATAGCCCAGACATTTGAGCAGGAAATAGGTAAAATGAGATGTTTCCAGGGCCTTTTATAGCTTCTGCCAAGTGAAGGGAAACCCATTGTTCTAGTTTGTGGGAAATTACAGGTAATAAGATGGAGTTTGGAGTCACATGTTCAAGTCACATGTCCATGCACGCTTTGCTTAGTCATAGCAAAGATCATTAACCATACTCTAGTTAGAACATACTCAGGAAAGTCAATTAAGTATAGCCAGCCATCTGTCATGGTCCACTGTGAGTTAAGTGTACCCCAATAGGCTGTTTAACATGAATAATCCCTTCAGAATGTGCAGGCTAAATACCTTGTGAGTTTTTCCACATGTGCAAACATTTGAAATACAGAAACATATTTGATATTCATAACTTTGGATACAAAAATGATACATGCACACAAATAGTATAATCATCTTCCGCAAATCATAACTTTTCTATTGACACCTTCCTTAACACACTTTGTATATGATTTCTTGTAATTATATAACAGTAGTAGCAACACTCATCTACATGGTCATACTTTATTCAGAAAACATCACACCATGGTTTTCTTTTGCAGTGTGCTGTTAAACAGCTGCCGTGTTCTACCCCAGAAGTTGCTGCTTTTCTGTAACAGACAAACTGACCTATCCTGCAAAACTTTGCAGAAACCTATAAGGTAAAAGAAGCTACATAAATATATCAATGACTGAACTCACAAGAGTTCCACCTTCATGATTTTTTTTCTTGGGAATTAACATATGCACAAGTCTTTAATTGTAAGTACTGCTGATTCTGTGCTGACCATTTATTATTATACAATATTCCCCCCCTCTCCCACCGCCGCTTCTCTTATACCACACAATAGGTGTAAAATAATTCCCGTGGTCTGGAGCAATGGCGCGATAGTTGTTCACTGTGACAGGCTCATTCACGGCCACTACTTTTCTGATAACCACTTTGACCCCTGAATGACAAACTGTGCTGTGCACAGAAGCCCTGCGGCAGAAGGGGAGAGAGTCTGACACTCACACTCTGCACAAGAGGCTGTGGGACAATAAAGACAGTCAACACATTAGCTGCAGGTTTGTGACAATTGGCTGAACTGCCTCTGTTTTGTTCTGACGGGCTAATCAGAGCAGGGCTTATTCAGGCAGGTAGATTGTTTGACAATATGCCCTACTTGTTGCGAAACCACTCGCTTCTCCTGGCCTGACGTCCTGCAATTGCGAGAGGCAAAAAGACTCAGTTCTGGTATAAGAAATAGGGGCCCGATTCACAGTTCTTCCCTCCCTCTGCTTGGGGCAAGGCTCTTGTGATTCCCCAGTAGTTTGGCTGGGGTATCTCTGGCAGATGGGCAACCTGCAGCCTACGGGTTCATGCAGCTTATCTGGGTAAGCTGCCGGTGGGCTGCCAGAGAGGCTGTTTACTTTGTGTCTTCAGGCAAGGCAACCCACAGCTCCCATTGGCTGTGGTTTAGCCAATGGGAGATGCGGGAAGCAGTGGACAGTCCCTGCAGCCTATGCCACGTCCCACAGCTCTCATTGGCCGGGAACAGTGAACTGCAGCCAATGGGAGCTATGGGTGGCTGTAGCTGTGGATGCAAGGTAAACAACCTGTTTAGCAGACCGCCAGCAGCTTACCCTGACTAACCGCGTGCAGCCAAATACAGGTCTGGGAGCCAGGAATTCTAATCTTCCATTTTTATGCACTTCTGTCCTTCTTGATCCTGCAAAATGAAGTGTCCAATTTCCAAAACAGAGGCTGCCATAATGACTAGCAGTGGATAGAAACAGCGATCATATGGGACAGCCCGTTCTTGCAAAATTCCTAGGCTTATTCGGAAGAGGGCTTGACTTACGAGAAGCTTAGGATAAACTTTTAAACTGTCAGGTGTTCATTCAGCAGAAACCAAGCTTCTAAACCACTGAACACCCCATGTCCCTACAAGGCAGCACTGAGGTCATTACGGATGCACACAGAGGTTTTGACTTGTACTTTCTACAACGTCCAGTAAATATGGATGATAATTTTTCAGGAACCAACCTAAAAGAGCTACAGCATGATTTCCAGAGAGTCTGAGCACCCATAACCCACAACCACTTCAGCAGGCCAAGATTACTGTCATGGACAAGAGGAGTGCTGACCAGGTTAAGTTGGCAAAGCTGCTGGCAAGGAACCAGAGAACCAATGGTCATAGGGTGTTGAAAGGTTCCCTGCCTGCTTTCTTTGTGTGAGAGAGATAAACCAGGAGAGAGTCACAGCATGATTTAAACTCAGGCAAGACTGCCATGCCCCCACGGAATTCCGGGCATGGGAGTGGACTGACCAAAGAGAAAATTGGAAGGAACTAATAGGAAAAAGGGAATCCAGTCGTGTTCAGGGTAATTTTTCTTTATTTTGTGGTTTGGTTTGAACTGCTCTGTGGGAAACCTCCCCTCTCCAATTACCATCCAAGCGTTGCTCTTAGAGACTTTCTCTGTTTTTTTTAAATTTGTTTTCCTTGGTTGCTCTGTAACCTGCAGCAACCAAGCATGCTGTATCAAGTTTATCTTTCGTTTTGTAATAAAAATCATTTTTTAAGGTGATGATTTGATTCTTGTGTCCCGGCAGGGCTGTCTGTGTGTATCTGCATGCCTCTGACTGCGGGGTCAGCTACCAGAGACTGCAGCTTGGTTTTCTCTTTTCAAGCTCTTTTGAGGCACAGGAGCTTGGGGGGTACCACTGGGGGGTGATTTCAAGTGTCCACCCCCAGTTTTGGGGATAAAAAGCACTTGATGGTGGCAGCAAATTCCCCCAAATCTGTGTATGGTGATTCTGGGGGGAAGATTTTTGTAACCAGTGCCTGTAGAGGCAAGGTTTTGAAGCTCTCTTGCAGGTGCTCACCTTCTGCACTCGGAATGTCAGAGTGGGGCATAGCCCTGACAATTACATACACACTATCATGTTATTGGGTGCTGCTGTACTCCACCCCAGAGGGGGTTGCATTTCAGTGGTGCATGTAACTCTATAGTTTATGAAGAGCTCTCAGATCTGACAGCAAGAAAGACATATAAAATGTTTTTCTTTTTCTTTTCCCCGCACACAAATGCCAAAATAGATTCTTTCTTTTTGTCACTATGGCTTTATTTGGTGCCAGTGATGAGGTATGGAAATCACTGGTGGACCTGCTGAAGGAGTGGAGATTGGGCTATGATTTATATCCCATGGAGAGGGATGCCATTGATTCCAGTGTTCTCAATGAACATAATTTATTTCCTAATTAAACTTTGCTGTCAAATTGCCCATCCTGTCATTTTTAATTCTGTATTTAATAGCCTAAACAACAGAATGCCTGGGCAGAATGCTTTATACCGGTGGGGCCTAAGTGAAGAAAGATGCCAAGTGTGTGTCTCTTAATAAAACGTAATAGTCAACCAGAAACAATAATTTTTAGGCAGGGCACTTTTTCCTCTGACAGGCAAAGTGTATAAAACAACTAGGATTTGAGGAGGCTCATCCTTCTTGCAAATATAAGGATTGAGAGCAAAATGGCCGCAAACTGGGAATTTGTGCACATCTGTACTGGATCCTTCAAAATGTTTGTTGGGCCAAACTGGGATTCATTTGAACCAGAAGGAGGATGGCTTATGAGGGAAAACATCTATGTACAGGCAGTCCCCGGGTTACATACAAGATAGGGACTGTAGGTTTGTTCTTAAGTTGAATTTGTATATAAGTCGGAACTGGTACATATTGTAGGGGAAACTCTAGCCAAACATTTCTCCAGAGCTCAGTTTTAATCTCCCACACCTCACTTCCCTCAGTCCTTTATTCTCAAGCTGAGGTGTCTGCTGAGAAAAGCCGCTCCGCGTCTCCCTGGTCTGCTGAGGGGGGGCGCTAGCTTCGCGTCTCCCTGGTCTGCTGGGGGGAAGCAGCTAGTGCGGGGTTGCCTCACTCCGTTTGTAAGTAGGGATCCGATGTAAGTTGAATCCATGTAACCCGGGGACTGCCTGTATATGGGCCCCCAGGACTTTCACATCTGGGTAGCTCACAAAACCCCTATCATGTAAGAAAGGGCTATTAACCATGCTTTATAGATAGTCCTAGCTACTGGGCCCTTCTTCCTCTTGGAGGTTTTGCTCCAAAATGAGACAACTAGAAAAACTTGTCAGTCGTTTCCTGGGAATTTCACCAGAGCTCTTGGCTTTGTCCACACCTGAGGCCCACTGAAAAAATCAGGGCAAATGGAAAAAATCATCTCTACAGGTCATTGCAAATGGAAAATGCCATATTTCACCTGAGTCTAACTATTATTATTGTGTGTCCCTGTAGCCCACCAGGGTCTAGGAGGGGAACTTCCCCCTGTGGGTCAAAGAGGGCAGTTACTCCGCCGCACTGTGCCTCTGCTGAGTCTCCCCTGGGGAATCAGCTATGCAGCTAGTTTGGGGCTGTAGCCTATGGTCAGGAGACGCCCAGAGTCAGTAAGTCCAGCCCTTCCACCGGGCTGGACACAATAGTCATGGTTCAGGGGCATCCTAGATCTTGCAAAGAACCAACAAGCGCAGGTGGTTAGCCTGGAACAGTGGGGGGAGGGAGAGACTGCCACCCATAGACTGGGGGTAGGGGCACGGGACACAGACCCACCTGCTCCACTGCGTCCCAGCCCAAGCCCCTAACAGTGGCAGCTCCGTTTGCTGCTGGGTCAGCAGAGATCCTACCCGCAGTCACAGGGTGTGCGTCAGCCAGACTAAGGTCAGCTGTCCCTGGGCTACTTCCAGACTCCCCCTCAGAGCATTCCCGGCTCAAATGCAGGTCCTCGGGGGTGTTGAGAGCTGGAACCTCTGGTAGGATGGGCAGTTCGTCCAGATCGATGTTTGTCTAGGGGCCACGTGTTTAGGGCTGCCAGACGGTTGAAACAAAAATACCGAACACCCCCCATCCCCCCCAAAAAAACCACCAGGGAAATATTCTGTTGAAGGGGAAAAAAAGTGGGGGAGACAAAAAAAAATAAAATAAAACAGCATTGAACAGGGGAGCGGTTGAGCACTAAGACCCAGGGGAAGGACTTTTGGCGGGCAGCCATTTTGTGCCGGCAGCCTTGGGGAACCAGGTAAGCATGGGGGCTGGGGTCGGGGGGCTGGAGGTGTTGGGGGCCAGGGAAGGGCTCGAGGGGGGGAATATTTGTAGGGTTGCCAGGTGCCTGGCATTTTCACCTCCTGGCTGGGGAAAAATTCAGAAAATACTTGATATCTCAGGTGTCCGGTATTCTTTGAATTTTTTTACCTGAGAGGAGGCAAAAATATCGGACTGTCTCAGTGAATACCGGACACCTGGGAACCCTACAGGTGGTCCTGGTCAGTCCTCAGACTCAGCTCTGCAGCAAGAGCAGGCATCTGGTTCCTCTGGTGGCTGGGGCCTGACTGGGCTCCCGAACTGCCTTTTATAGCTCTAGCCCCACCTCCTGACTTCCGGTCTGGTGATGGGGCCAGGCTCTGCCCACCAGGACTCTACCAGAGGCTCCTCCCCCTCTAGGTCAGTGGCAAGCTAGTCCGGCTCACTAGAATCTGAAAAGTTCCCTGGGAAGTGGACCAGATCCATATAAAGAATCATATGTAGGTGATGACAAGTGGTGTTCTATTGTTGGTTTTCTTGGGTCTGTCTTGAAGTGTCTCTGAACTGTCATTCATAGAATCATAGAATAATAGGACTGGAAGGGACCTCGAGAGGTCATCGAGTCCAGCCCCCCGCCCTCAAGGCAGGATCAAGCTCCGTCTACACCATCCCTGACAGATGTCTATCTAACCTGTTCTTAAATATCTCCAGAGAGGGAGATTCCACCACCTCCCTTGGCAATTTATTCCAATATTTGACCACCCTGACAGTTAGGAATTTTTTCCTAATGTCCAATCTAAACCTCCCCTGCTGCACTTTAAGCCCATTACTCCTTGTCCTGTCCTCAGAAACCAAGAGGAACAAATTTTCTCCTTCCTCCTTGTGACACCCTTTTAGATATTTGAAAACCGCTATCATGTCCCCCCTTAATCTTCTTTTTTCCAAACTAAACAAGCCCAGTTCATGAAGCCTGGCTTCATAGGTCATGTTCTCTAGACCTTTAATCATTCTTGTCGCTCTTCTCTGTACCCTTTCCAATTTCTCCACATCTTTCTTGAAATGTGGCACCCAGAACTGGACACAGTACTCATTTGAGGCCTAACTAGTGCAGAGTAGAGCGGCAGAATGACTTCACGAGTTTTGCTTACCACACACCTGTTGATACAACCTAGAATCATATTTGCTTTTTTTGCAACAGCATCACACTGTTGACTCATATTCACCTTGTGGTCCACTATGACCCCTAGATCCCTTTCTGCCATGCTCCTTCCTAGACAGTCGCTTCCCGTCTTGTATGTATGGAACTGATTGTTCCTTCCTAAGTGGAGCACTTTGCATTTCTCTTTATTAAACCTCATCCTGTTTACCTCTGACCATTTCTCTAACTTGCTAAGGTCATTTTGAATTATGTCCCTATCCTCCAAAGAAGTCGCAACCCCACCCAGTTTGGTATCATCCGCAAACTTAATAAGCGTACTCTCTATCCCAATATCTACATCATTGATATTGAAGATGCAGTCATTCTCCCTGTGGTCACACTTTGCCTCAGAAAGCGAAGGATTCGGTTTCATTTGAACCAGGAGGAGGATGGTTTATGGGGGAAAGCATCTATGTATACGGGCCCCCAGGACTCTCACATCTGGGTAGCTCACAAAACCCCTACGATGTAAGAAAGGGTTATTAACCATGCTTTATAGATTGTCCTAGCTACTGGGCCCTTCTTCCTCTTGGAGGTTTTGCTCCAACATGAGACAACTAGAAAAACGTGTCAGTAGATTCACAGGAATTTCACCAAAGCTCTTGGCTTCGTCCACACCTGAGGCCCACAGCAAAAACCAGGGCAAATGGAACTGGATTGCCTCAGAAAGCAATCGCAAAGGCAGGTTTGCACAGATGAAGAAGCACGTTCCTTTGAAATCCCAGTTTAAAACAATTTCTGGTTGATGAAAAAGGCATTTGCATTTCCCCAAATCACCCCCTAGCTCATTTAAAAGCTGGTTTCTAAACCTTCTGGGACCCTTCCTCAAGTCCTCAGTTGGTTAATTATTACTCGTTTTGGGAGGAGGGGGTAATATAACTGTAATTGATTCTATTACAAAGCTCTCCCTCGATCTGCATACAGAAGTGGACAATTTTTGCTGTTATTTATTTGTGATTGTAGTGTATTGTAGTATATGGCAAAAATACATAGTACAGAAGGCGACTGATCGGTTCTTTTAGTCTGACCTTGGTATTTTGTTTTATCAGGGCACTAAAACCAATCCTACATTTCTTCAGTTTTCTAAAGCTTTGGACATCTTAATGTTGTGACTTTCTTCCTTATGACTTATTCCTCTTAAAAAAAGTGGGGGGAGGGAGGGATTTAAATCTCTGCTTCATTTGCAATTGCGATGTGTCTAGTTTGCATCCCTTTTACGGAAAAGTGTTGCAGTCTAGACACAGCCCATGGGTATGTCTATACTGCAGAGTTTTTCTGGAAAAACAATACTTACGTCCACACTGCTATTGCATCGACTGAGTTGACTCAACCACCAGAGTTGACCCTAACCCTAATCCAGTCCCTAGGCCCTGATTGGCTTGGGTGGGGGAGGAGCAGGGCTTGTGCAGGCCAGATCAACCCACTTGGCAGGCTGGATCCGGCCCACAGAGGCCTTTTTGCCCACCCCGGGCTAAATACAGATCTACCATACAGATCTAGGGAGAGGACTGAGTAGGTGATTACAAGCTGGCTGTAGGGCTGACCTCTTGGGCTTGAGGACACGCATAGGTTGGGATATTGTCTAGTACATGGGATCCCAAACTGGGGGGGATGCCCCCCTGGGGGGCCATGAAGAAATCCCCCAGCCACACCTCGCCCCCGTCAATCCCACCCCAAATTTTGCTTCTATTTTGGGAGTGGGGTGCGTGAGGGTTTCTCAAAAATCAAAAAGGGGGTGTAATACCAAAAAGTTTGGGAACCACTGGTCTAGCAACTACATGGATGCACAAGGGAACCAGGCTTCCTTTCTGCTCCTAGGTGGCATGGGGGATATAAGGGGTCATGTGCTGCCCTAGATGGGTCCCATGCCCTGCTATATTTTAATTGCTGAAGCCAGGTGCCCTCACTTTGCCAGACACCACCATGTCTCTCCCTGTGTTATTCAAGGCAGTATATTGGGAAGCAGCACACCTCCCTCACTGAGGCAGCTGCAGACTTCTTAGAGACATAACGAGCTTTAATTCTGAGACTGCCTGACTTTTAGGCCAGAGGGCTCCATAGCTTGCGGTAATTACCTGTTCAGTTGCTTTCTGTGCACGTATTTTGCTTTATTATATACATATATTTATACATATTCTTCTCCTTGTACCTATTTATCTCTAGTTATTTTATCCTCCAGATCAGAGGAATGATTCATTCAGCTGTTATTTTATATGGCAAGCCAATATGAAGGCCTGGGAGAGCTTAGATCTCTGTCTGTCTAACTATTGTATGGTGTTGTTCCAATTAGCATCTTCGGGTAAATCCAGGAATACCACCTGACAGAATTGATATTCCTTCAGGATTTCCGTTATTAGCACCTCTAGCTTTATTCTGTTGATGCTAAGCAGTAAAATCAAGCAAATAATTAAATCAGGATTTCCTTTCGTGTAATAAAGTCATTTTGATAACATGAAATACTGTTTTTCCTCTACTGGAGTCAGCTACATTCCCCTTCATGTACTCCCCTATTAAAAAAAAAATCTCTTTTTCATGTTCCTAAGAAACACAACAAACCTAAGTCTTGCTTGTTTGCCAAGTCATCAGATTTTGGCACATTGCTTTTCTGTTTCAACTTTGTGTGTTTGGGCATTGCATTAGAATGTAATGCTCTGGACTCTTCTTGGTAATAAAATCTCTCTCTCTTCCAGGAAGCAGTCCACCCGAAGATTCATCACTGGTGTAACTGCACTGACTTCGTTGGAGGGAGCGTTTTATGGGACAAGCGTGAGCATGGGATTCCAGAAAACTACTCAGTTCTTGGTTGTGCCACTCTGACCTTCGGCAAGTCATTTCACCTCCTGGTGTCTCTGTCTATATCGCTAAAAGACGGTTTGCTGCCATCACATTGTTCACTCTGCTTGCGTGCTACATTCCTATGCTGTCTATTTAGAATGTAAACTCTTTGGCACGCCTACACAGCGGGGCAAAAATCGAATTAAGGGTGTGTCTACACTGCAACACTATTTCAAAATAAGTAGCACTATTCCGAAATAACATAATCCGCGTCTACACAGCAGGAAGTTATTTCAAAATAGTGTCAAAATACTGTCAAGCTGGAGGACTTCTTACTCCAACTCCTGTAACCCTCATTGTATGAGGAATAAGGGAAGTCGGAGGAAGAGTCCTCTATTTCGAAATAACTGCTATGTAGACGTTCCCTATTTCTAAATAAGCTATTTCAAAATAAGATCATTACGCAATTGACGTAATGATCAGTGGTGTGTGGGATTAATTTAGCTTTCCTCCCTTCTCCAATATAAAAAAAATGCAGTATTTCCACTCTCACACAGTGTGTAGTCAACCTGTGGAACTCCTTGCCAGAGGAGGCTGTGAAGGCTAGGACTATAATAGAGTTTATAATAGACAAATCGCTTGATCATTGTCTTCGGTCCACCCTCCCTGGGGCACCTGGTGCTGGCCACTGTCGGCAGACAGGATACTGGGCTAGAAGGACCTTTGGTCTGACCCAGTACGGCCGTTCTTATGTTCTTATGTTCTCTGCCCTGGAGTTCCAATTTGCCTTGAGCTCTCTGTGTGAACATGGAATTGAATGTACTGTCAGGAATGAGGTGCTGCAAAGGAGAATGGACAAGATGAGGCTATTGGTGTCATCCATCTACTTTCAGTGGTTTGGGAGTTTCACAGAAGGGAGAACAGAGGAAAGCAAATCTCGGAACCTATATGGGAGCGGCAGAGTCCAACGGGTCTTCCCTCTGTGGGACCAATGTGCCAGACTGAAAGAGAATATGTGGGTTGAAGCCACCAACTCTATGGATTCTAGTCAACTGCATTGAGTGGGAGGGGACTGTGCTCTTCGGCGGCCCAACTTCCTCTATAGACGCTCACAAAATTCAGCAGCCATGTGGCCATTGGCTTCAGGCATTAACATTCTGCAGG